TGCACGCGCCCCCTGCAGTCAGCCCCCTGCACGCGCCCCCTGCAGTCAGCCCCGTGCACGCGCCCCCTGCAGTCAGCCCCGTGCACGCCCCTCTGCAGCCCGGTGGCTGGAAAACTCCTCCGCCCTCTCGGTTTTAATGTTTTTCTTTGTACAAAGATGATTTTATACTAATCTGAATAGCTGATTATAATTAACTGATAAAATGTTGCCATTCAGACCTTATGCACTGCTGTTTTAGTTTTCAAAGGATGCATTTTTCTTTTTTTGTTGTGTTAAGTAGAATCCACTTAGGATAGATCTGACTGTCCTCGCCATTTTGAGGACTCGGCCCAGGCCTTTGAAGAGCTGTGCCCCCAGCTCACCCCCAGAGAGCTGTCCTTCCAGTAACCAGCCCAGCAAGCCTCCCCTTCGCCCCCCGCCCCCCACTACCACCACTGTGGTTTCAGGGCGCTGCGGGTCTGTGCAGCCTCGTCTGTAACCGCGGCGCCCTGTCCCCGGCTCTCCCGCCGCACGTCGGGCGTCCTTCCTTTGCACGCTGGTGGGCGTGCTTGGGCGTCTGCGCCCCGTGGCCCCGCGGTGCGTCCCCGGGCCAGCTGCGGTGAACACCGCTACCGGGGCGCTCTGGGTCGCTTTGGGGCCCCCCCGGAGGAGGAGTGCTGACTCCGTGGGATTTCGATGGCGGCGCTTGAGGACCTCTGTTCAGCTTTTCCCAGGGCTGCGAAGCCCGTTTTGGGGTGCCTTTACAGCCGCCCTTGTTTGTGTTTTTGTAGGCCCCAAGCGGCCTGCAGTGGTAGCTTCAGTTTGCAGGGCCCTGATGATGAGCGAGTTGAGCATCTTCCCACGCGCCTCTTGGCCGTCTGTCGGAAACAGGCGTGTCGGCTTTGCCGTTTCGAGCTGAGGGTTAGTTCTCTGAGTGGCCTGGAGGTTAATCTCTTACCAGATACCTAGGCTGTGCAGATACTTTCTTCCATTCTGTGGTTGGCTTCTAGTCTGTGGATAGTTCTTTTGCTGTGTCAAATTTTAAAATTTCATGAAGTCCAGCTGTCTGTTTTTCCTTTCGATGCCTGCGCCGCACCAGTCACGTCTGAGAACTCACGCCCTGCCCATGGCGCTGAGGCTTGCGCAGTGTGTTCTTCTATTTTAAGTCTTACATTTAGTTTCTTTCTATTTAAAGATTTATTTGGGCATAAAAGAACTGAATGCAGGCCAGAGGTGGGGGGTGGTGAGAGGATCCCCCAGAGACAACGTGGGGAGCAGAACAGGCGGACCCCTGGCCAGGGATGGACTCGGGCCCCGGTGGCTGCCCTGGCCGGACCGCGCAGACTGAGCCTGCGCCCAGGGAGGCCCATTCAGCCCGCTGCATGCTGCACTCTGCCACACGGTGTTAGCGAAGGCTCCACCGTCGCTCTTTGGCGTGAGATCACGCACTTTTCCAGCGTCGGTTATTGAAAAGATCCCGGAGTGGTTTTACACCCTTGATGGGAACCATTTCACTGTATATGCAGGAATATTTCTGGGCAAAAAAGTCCTGATCTCTTCTTCCAACAACCCACTCTGAACTCTGACGGGGCCTTAGACCTGGCCCAGCGTCTGACCCCTCTGCTCCATCTCTGGCCACGCCGCTGCCCCCGCCCGGCCTTCACCGCGTCCGCCCCGTTTGCCCTGCAGCCCGCTC